TCCATTTAATTGTTATACTACTACCCGGGTAACATCTTGACATATGTATAAGCGCACTATTTAGTTTGCTCGATTTGTAAACAAAACTTCTCAGCGGTGACAAATATACTACTGTAAACAGCCTAACCGAGCGAAATTCACAATAGCGCTATTCTTCATCGAATGAACGTACCAAACGAAAATTCGTTCGATCAGCACTTTCGACCACAGTTGCAGTTTCACAAGCAAAGTTTCATATAAAAGAGAGCGCGTAACACCATATAAATATATCAAATTTGCAATGTTTATTTTATTTTTAACAATATAAAACGCGTTTAATAATTTCACTACTCTTCTCCGACAAAGTAAACAAGCAAACAAATCAAAATGGCTGAGATGGTGAATATAAAGGTTGCTACCACATGTTCGAAAATTCAACAAACTAAAACGAAGGGATTTTCAACAATCGACCTATGCTTCGTAATGATCTCGATAACAGTAAGGAATAAATGAGTATAATGTGTTTTTAAAATATGTTAAACAAAGAGCTCTCATTCGCATTTGTACTACAAAAAGTGGAGGTTGTATTTGTCTAAGTATTTCTTGTGCCTATTGTGAGTGTGAAGTGTGTGTCAATTGTTAAGTGTAAAAGTTGGATGTTCTATTGTAAAGACTAGGTATTAAACTCCTAGAAAAAAAAAAACAAAAATCTGAACAAAAAAAAAAAAGAAACTTGTGCTAGTGCTTGATCCAGACGTTCTTACTAAGGTGAGTGCTACAGTTCTTTGTGATTGGCGGCAGCCAAAATGGACAGCGACGCCTCGGCGTCAGAGAAGGGGGAGCCAAACCAGGAGCTGGACACCAATCCAGCGTCAGACTGGTTTGAGGTAGGTAGAAACAGAAAACAAGCTGCAAGGAAAAGACAGATGAATAAAACTACAAAGGGGGGTCTTCCAATAGCTGAGTCAGAAACAGACGACGACTGTACCAAACGGACGGACACAGCAAGTACTACCAAAAAATCTAAGACAGACCAAGCTAACGGCACTTGCATCCCGTTACAAGGAATGTTAGTGAAGAGAGGAACATACGCAAAAACGACGACAAAAAACTTAACGGGCACTGCGGACATGAACAGCGAAAACAAGGAGAAAGAAACTTACAAACACTCTGACTGCGAACAAACACGTGCGACAGAAAGCAAAGGTGCGAACAACAGGGAAAAAGAAAAAGAACACATGGACAGTGTGTGCTATACAAAAAGGCACAGGGGAGATTATTGCGTTCTGGTGGACACCTCAAAATCCAACACGATAAACAACGAAAAAATGCGCAATGGCCTATTCCTTTGGGATATTATAAGACATTTTAATATTGAGGGGATTAAAAACATAAAAGCCATAGGTAGATCACTCTACAAAATTTTTTTTGAAAATTTTGAAGCTGCAAACAAGTGCGTTAGCAATCCCGACTGAATTAAAAATCAAATGAGACCCTTTATACCAAGAAGCTTGGTAGAAACAACTGGTGTTGCTAGACAAATACCTCTTAACTTCACTGAGGAAGAAATAAAAGAAAATATCATTTCAGATATTCCTGTTACAGCTATCTCAAGAATTACCAGAAGAGATCCCAATGACAAAGAGAAGTTCATTCCAACTCTCTCTGTGAAAATAAGTTTTGAAGGCAACGAACTACCAGAAACCATAGACATTTTTTGCGTAAAAATCAAAATGGTTCACTACATTCCTAGAGTTAGGCATTGTTACAACTGCGGCAGACTAGGGCACACAAAAATGGCCTGCAGAGCAGCCAACAGATGCATTATCTGTGGCAAGGCAGAGGGCTGTAGTAGTAAATGCAATGAAACCACAAATTCGTGCATACTATGCGGAGGGGATAATCACAATTCACTCGAGAGCAGGAAATGTTCTAAATGGGCCAGAGAAAAACAGGTGGTCGAAATTATGACAATAAAAAAAGTATCTAAGTCTGAGGCGATTGGGATGTACAATTTAAACAATAATAACCGTTTCTCAGCTCTAGAAAACTATGAGGGAAATTTTCCACAGTTAGAAGCAAAAAGTACAGCAAGGATCAACAATGATGAAACAGTAAATAGAAAACTCACTACATATAAATACAATTATGTAGTTAGAAATCATCAAACCCACACAACAGCTACACCTAACCATTCCAAAATCTTGCCGAAAGCTACAACCAAAACACAACCCGTCTATGAAATGCCGAATTGGTCTAAGGTCACAGAGATTGAAAAGCTTGTAAATCTCCTTATAAAAAGATACGACATTGACGTTAATGACCCCTTGGTTAACCTAATTCGCAATATAGGCGCAGTACACATTGAAGACAAAACTCCAAGTAACAAAGATGACAAATCCAATAAAAATATTACAATATAACGTACAAAGCCTTAAAAGTAATAAAAACTATGTAGACTTCTTTAACACTAGTAATAACATTGATATAGTCTGCCTTCAGGAAATTTTTTCGCATGACAACCATACAACTCAACACAATTTAATGAACTTCAACTTACTCAGAAAGACTAGAATCGATGGATATGGTGGCGTAGGAATCGGATTTAAAAAAGGTATAAAATTTACGAAAATCAAATTTGTTTCAAATTACGACATTCTAATAGCCAAGACGATTAATCTTATTAATAATTTAACTATTTGCAATATTTATTTTCCTCCCAACCTTGACACTTTAAATTTTACTAACGAACTGAACCGTGTAGTACTTTTTCTTAACAATCATGAAAACGTTATTATAGCAGGAGACCTCAACGCTAGGCATCAAGTGTGGGGAGACAGAATATGCAACACCAAAGGAAAAATAGTTGTTGACGAAATCAGGAACACCAATCTCCAGTGCATCAACAGTGGAGCAATCACTCACCGCACCGGTAACAGTGCAGGAACGGCAATTGACATAACTCTGACCAACATTAACAGCAGTTACACAAAATGGCACTGTCAACAAGTCCATTTGGGAGGCAGTAAGCATTTCCCCATCATCGTTGAAGTCACTAATAGCAGCAAAAAGCCCAACTATTTCATCCCCAAGGAACGACTCGCCCAGGAACTTGCTCAGTTAAAATTCTCGGACTTAGAAAATATCACGACAGAAATAGACAGCGTTAGGAACAGGATTAAAATTGACTTGAACACATCCAGGCGTACCCCTAAAAACTGGTGGAGTGATGACCTCAAAAAACTGTACAGATTACATGTCGCTAAACGCAAAAAAGCTAATCATACTAACAATGTTGAAGACATGGAAGCCTCAATTATAGCAACTAGTGACTGGAAAGAAGCGGTGAAGGCGGCAAAGAAAGCGAGCTACAACAGTAAAATTGAGGAGATAAACACTTGCCCCAACTCGACACAGGCGTGGAAATTCATAAGAAATGTCAAAGGCAATAAGCGCGCGTCTCACAATTGGGCAGCTGAAGATGACCGAAGCTACTTAGAACTGATAAGGAATCAAGCTCAAGAAGCCAGCAACCCTTGTAATGTCATCACTCCAACCACCGCTGCATCAGTAAATGCCAACAACAGCGTTGACTTTTCATACAGCAGATTCGAAAATTTATTAGCAAGAAAAAAATCTACTGCTGGGGGTTTCGACAGAATTACGTTTAATACATTAAAGCAATTGTCCACTGAGTCCAAACAGTCGTTATTAGACGCCCTAAAAGAACATTTCTACAGCAACAGGGTCCTAGACGCATGGAGACAAATAAAGGTAATTCCAATACCGAAAGCAAACAAAAACACTGAGGACATAAATAACTTTAGACCCATTTCACTCATATCTGTCGTAGTAAAGAGCATTAATATGATGGTGAAAGAATCGCTGAACGAGTTCCTGGAGACAAGCAATAGACTTCCCAAGAAGAGCTACGCCTATCGAAAAATGAGATCAGCAACAATGTGCATTAACGAAATGCTACACCTTATAGCAGAAAGAAAGAAATGTAGGGAATATGCTATGATTTGTTTCTTAGATATGTCGGACGCCTATAATAGAGTAGATCTTGTTACACTTCATAATATTCTTCTACAATTCAACATTGACCCAACAATTGCAAACTGGATTAACAACTACTTTTCTAAAAGACATCTGACCCTAGGTAATCACACTGTTGAGGTAAACTCAGGCCTACCTCAAGGTAGCTGCCTTTCCCCAACGCTATTCAATATTTATACAGCCCAACTGCACGAAATTAATAACTCTCAGACTCAACTATTTCAGTTTGCCGACGATCTTGCGTTAATATCCACTGGCACAAACAGATTCTCTGCAGCTCAAAATTTACAAAACAAAATAGAAGAATTACAGGCAAAATGCGACAGCTTAAATCTCAAATTTAATCTGAACAAAACAAAATTCATGTATATGTCTGCAAACAATAAACAAACCTTTAGTGTATCCATCAACGGCCTAAACATTGAACAAGTCCATCACTTCAAATGGCTGGGAAGAACAATTAGCGCGAACTCAACCATTAAGGTACACATTAGTGAAATTAAAAAAGCAACAACTTCAGGTAAAAACCTTATTTCTAAATTAACATCTATCAAGTCAGGTATTTCACCTAAAACTGCTATAAATCTTTTTAAAGCGTTTTTACGATCCAAAGCAGAAAATGCCAACACCAGTTACGCCAATGCCCCTAAAGGGTATAACAAGCAGCTACAAACCAATGTAAATGAAACGTTGAGGAGATGCCTCGGAGTTCCTCCAAACACTCCAACACTCATGAGATACGCGCTGGCTTGTGAACTTCCACCTCTTCCCAGAGCTGTATGGCTTACGGCCAAGGAACTTGTCAAACAGTGGTTGATCAATCCTGAACTTAGAATACAGATCCAGAACAGACCTCCCATAAATTCCAGCTACAGCATAACGTACGAAAAATTTAAAGCAATTATCAACACCATAGATACAAATGTAGCTTTCAAAAGACACCATAACCTCACCTGCTACGAATCTGAATTGGCCCAGTCCAAAAAGAACGTTACCCCTACACAACTCAGAGCTATCTACAACCAAAAAATTAACACGCTAAAAGAGGAAGGTTTCAAAGTGTATGCCACTGATGCATCGGTGTCAGATAACAAAATTGGCTGTGCAGTCTATGTGGTAACGGCTAACGTCTCATACCTGTTCAATATAGATGGAAACTTCACATCAACTTACGGTGAGCTAGTAGCACTTTCTCAAGCAATCACGATAGCCATTAATAATGATAGTAAAAAAGTAGCAATCTTTACAGACAGTCAGAGTGCAATTAAGGCCCTAAAAAGCCGCACCACACACAATTTCCTAGTAGCTGAAATCCATAACAAACTTTATCACTCCCAAATAGAAAACATTGCAATAGTCTGGACACCTAGCCATGTGGGTATAACCATAAATGAAAAAGCGGATATAGCAGCAAAAACAGCAGTTGACCATGGTAAATCTTTACCCCCAAAACTCACACCTTGTGAAGCACTGAGAAGGATTAGCAAAATGTTGTGGACTGAAGCCAAACAAGAATTTACCAACAAACTTCCAAACTGGGACCCGGACATAGTAGAATTTTGCACGCCCAAAGAAAAACAGCCATGGTTTAAAAACAAAAATGTAGACTTAGAAGCATACGACATAAAACTTTTTAACAGAATAGCTACTGGACACACGTACGGTAGCACTTATTTAACCAAATTTCAGCATTACAGATCAGACAATTGCAGCGCATGCAACATAAAAGAAACTCCTGAACACCTCATATTTGATTGTATCAAATATAACAACTTACGTAATGATAATTCTCTTTTCCGAAACTACCAAAATTTCAAACAGATTCTTCTTTCAAAACTGCCTGCCACATACAAACAACTGGCCGACTTTCTACATAGAAGTGGGCTGGATAAAGCACTATAAACAAAAAAAAAAAAAAAGGTAAAAAAAAAAAAAAAAAAAAAAAAAAAGGTATTGAAAGAAAAAAAAAAAAAAAACAACATAAGAATTTTAGAAAAAAAAAAATTTAACTTAGAAAGTATTAAAATATACAAAACTATTATATGTTTTATACAAATGAGATAAAATATACTCAACTGATTAGTTTCACTACTAGTTATATATCAACTTATAACATTCGTTTAAACAAATGTACTCAATCTGTCATTCTATGTTTGTGTTTTCAGTCTTGGTGTATTGTCTTATGTAGTCTTGTGTTGTTCTTAAATGTCATAAAATAAGAATGAGGAAAGCAGCTGTTACGCTAACATCAGCCAGAAAGAAGCAACATCAAGGAGTCGTATAATAAAACACTCTTCAACGCGGAATTTCAACAAAACACGTCGATACAAGATAAATGGAAGCAACATTGTCCAGCAGTTTAGCCGAAAGATTACAACTAACCAAACAATCGTTTGCAGATAGACTGGTGTTATGCTAAAGGAAGCTGTAATCCACAGCGTTTGGGACAAATAGCATTTCGACTTAGAAAAGAAACACTAACGTATTCAAATGGTATAAGACAACGATAACCACTGAATACATCACGTTTTAATAACCGGCTATTTAAGGTGTATAAACCTAGCCATAAGTGGAACGTTCGATTTGTTCCTAAAGCCCCAAAAAAAAAAAAAAAAAAAA